TTCTTTCTTTCTTTCTTTCTTTCTTTCTTTCTTTCTTTCTTTCTTTCTTTCTTCTTCTTCTTTTCTTTCTTTTTTTACAAACCCTGCTGAAAACTGCCTGTAGTTGCATGTTTGGTGTTTACAAGCGAAACAAGCCCAGAGAGCACGACTCAGGAAGTTATAAGATGGAAACAGATTATACACCGTGTAGGGTTATACATGCAAACACGCAGATAAAGAAGCATTTTCCAGTGAGTAGTCAAGTTTCACTTGATGTTATTGCAACAAGAACCAAAATGCGTGAGTGTGAGAACAAATGTGTTCTGTGGGCTTAATTTAAGAGATGGGGATGAAGTCAGTGGAAGCAACAAGTGCAAGTTGTTTGTCAGAGAAAAGAAACAAGCCAACAAGTCTAATAATCTGTAAAAGAAAAGTCTGTGGGGATGAAATAATAGAAAGGTGCTTCCACCAGAGAGTGACGATTGTCTGAACAAATCTCTGTAGTCTGTTCCTCTGAGCCATTTCTATTTATTTATTTACTTCTTTTTTTTTTTTTTTACAGTATATTAAGAAAGATCACAGAAGATCTATGAATCTTCATCCAGTTATGGTACTTTGCTTGAAACAAGACTAAGGCCTACAGTTTTGTGTCTTTTTGTTAGTAGGTGCTAGTATTAAAAAACTGAAGCAATATAGTTTTCAGTTTTATTAAACCTGCTGCCAACAATACACATATTACATTCAGTTAATTTAAGGTAGATTATATTTTGGGAAGATTATGCAGGATGGTGGCAGCACGGTGGCAAGGTGGTTAGCACTGTTGCCGCACAGCAAGAAGGTCCTGAGTTCAATTCCACCATCAGGCCAGGGTCTTTCTGTGTGGAGTTTGCATCTTCTCCCCGTGTTTGCGTGGGTTCTCTCCGGGTACTCCGGCTTCCTCCCACCGTCCAAAGACATGCAGCTTGTGGGGATAGGTTAATTGGATAATGCAAATTGCCACTAGGTGTGAATGTGAGTGCGAATGGTTGTCTGTCCCTGTGTGTTAGCCCTGCGACAGACTGGCGACCTGTCCAGGGTGTACCCCGCCTCTCGCCCCATGAGAGCTGGGATAGGCTCCGGTGCCCCCCGCAACCCTAAAAAGGATAAGCGGAAGCGAATGGATGGATGCAGGAGATACAGTTTAAATGTATCTGAAGCTTAAACAAACGGTGCATTTATAACAGCTGATCTTGGTGTCAGCCAATGGCACACATCCTATGGGAAAATGGCATAAAGGGCACGATATCGATTTAGTTTAACTACAGTTGCTGCTGTCTCTGTAAGTCGTTTTGCAACCCACCTGCACCCCAGCTCCTCCTTTCCAAGCTGCATCTGACTTCAACTGAGTTCAGTTTTATTAATATAGCAGCAAATCCAACACACAACAGTCACCTCAAGGTGCTTTACATTGTACATGATAATGTGTAAAAAACCCTTAATACTTAATAAAATGTATTTCTGATGCTGGCTGTGGCACTGCGAGTCTTGATATTGCTCTTCCATCCTAAGGCTTTGTGTGCAAATAGAAATGCAGGAAGTTCCTGGACCATACTGCCAAATATAAATGACTGCAGATTAAATCATATTTTTTGACTGCAATGGCCTTGAGTGAAATATGTGTATAAATACAAAATGTCACTGAAGACATAATTCGGTTGGTTAAATACTTCTGGACACTAAATATTTTAAAAAATAATAATAAAGCTAGCTTTAAATAATTTAAACCAAAGAACTAATGCTCGGTGCCACAGACTCGTTTTGAACATCAACTTTAAGTGAGATTTGCATCAGAGTGAAGTAACAGGATCAACAGGCTCTCCAGCGCCACCCAGGCATTTGGAATCAGCATGTAAGCCTCTCAGTGTTTTAGAGGGTTTACTGAAAACTGTCCATCAGTATTGGTAGTTCTTCCAGGTATGGTGGTCCGATACAGCGTAGGCAGCAAGCGGGGAAGTAGCGGTCAGGCTGGAGGGCAGGATGATTAACCACTCCAAGCCCTGGCAGCATGGCCTTAGCAGCATATGAGACATGCCAGCCCAGTATAATTGCCTTATTAGGATAATGGTGGTAGTTACAGGCTTCATCTTCCTCCAGGTAATTCTAGCTATCTGCACAGTGAATAGAATTCAATACCTGCAAGTGTTTTTTGTCAAAGGGGTGCTTTAAAGTGGACATGCAGCCAATACAGGAGGATCTGTTTTTGTTTGTTTACACCAAGCATACGCAACAGAAAATGCACAGTTATTATGGCTAGCAAATCATCTTTTTTCCCCCTTCTCAGTGTTTTCTATTCATGAAATATATATATTTTGGCTGTTTTAACCTGACATGATAGATTGTGTGAGCTATTTGATAGGTTCTGTGGTTGGCAGGCTCACTGAATGAAGCTGGCCAAGTCTATCGGTCATTCCGGGTCTCTTGGACTCTTTAAAACCAGTATGCTGCTATTGGCTTAAATGTGTAGGGATAGTTGGCTCTCATAACACAGTCTAGCAAGAAGTAATTTGATCCATTGTTTTGCACAGTAATGTGCGCTTCAAGGCAAGAGCTGACAATGATGCATCCTGAATAATTTGGCGTTGAGCAATCTAATGTCAGGCCTGTGAAAGTTGCAAGTTGGACTCTGAATGTTTTACCAATTTTTGTCCCACATTCACTAATGCTTTGAAAAATAGTAAAGTGTCCCACTGACAAATTTAGAAACTCAGGATAGACTTTAAGCAAAAAAAGGGCTGTTGCCTCACGGCAAGAAGGTCCTTGTTTTGAATCAACTGAATTAGGATTGTCTTGTTGAAATATAAAGTTTATACCAGCCGTCATGTGAACAGCTTCTGCATTTACACTTAGCAGAAATAAACCAAGTGATAATGATTAAGCCCTGTGTCAGACTGCCAACCTGTCCATGGTCTACCCTGCCTTTCACCCTGAGACAGCTGGGATAGGCTTCAGCCCCCCCAAGCAGAAGAGAATGGATGGATGGATGATAATGATTAATAATCATAATGATCATCCAGTCTCACATGAGTCTAGATAAACAGTTTTTATTGTTTATATATTCTTGTTTTGCAACTTTCACAAAGCATTTGTGAAACATTGGTTTCATAAATGTATTACATTTTTAAAGTTCTTTTTTACAATGACTTAGTAGCTTTAGCTTGTTCCCCTGATCAAGACTCACCGAACAGATGATGCTATTGTGGGACCTGAATGTGGCACTGAATAACATGAGTGCACATACAAGCGTGCACTTTTCTCCTTAGACTTAAATATTAAAATAACACGTTTTCTTTTCCTACAGGAAGGAGCTGTGGTAGCCCTGTTTAAGATCTGCAGACAGGACCGCTTCAGAGATCTCTACGCACACGCTTTAAGAACAGTGGCCTCCATCTGCTGTGTGGAGGAAGGCATTAACCAACTGGAAAAGGTAAAATTCTCCACCTTACACACTCACGTACACATGTATGTGTATAAGGGTGTGCAGCGATTTACAGATAAACTGTGAATAAGTAAAGGTGGCCCCAAAGGAAATTTGTCATTAGTTTGTGGTTAGAATGAACAAATCAAATAAAGTGGGGAAGAATAGCACATGTACCTCACATGCATGAGGCACTATTTCCAGACTTTCAAGTAATAAACAAAAATGGGTACACGCACGTATTTAAGATATAAGGGGAATGAGAGATTACATCAGTCTGGAGTAAAAGTAAGTCAATAAAATAAATCCAGTAAAAACCGTGAGTAGCTCCAGTCCAGCCAGATAATGTTTGGCTGAAGATGTAAGTCAGTAGTAAGATATGACTGCAAGGTTATATATACATATACATATACATATACATATATATATATATATATATA